TAACAAAAGGCTTTTGTCGAAATAACTTTTTCCGCAGTATTTTACATATATGTTACACGAAAAATTTTTGATAATTGTAAATCGAACACCACAACAGTACGTACGTACGTACATCAGAACTTGCTACGTACGTACACGTATTCTAAACTTGGTAACTAATTTATATTTTATTTGTTACAAATTTAGTGAGTGATAGAAATGATCATAGAATAGTCACACCTTTTTAAATAAAAATAAAATGCTTTTTTATTAACGTACAAAATAAAACTTCAGCTAAATCACATTATAAAATTCTCGTTCTTTTTGATTAATTCATTATTCGAAAATTGTATCGGAATTTCGGTTCCCAGGTTCCGTAGATGCATAACTGTTTGGGAAACTTGTCACATGGCTACCACGGAATGCAACTCCGCAATGAATTATAAATATAATGTACTTACGTTTTAACGGTATTATTAAAAAAACAGTTTCTTTTAAGCCATTACGAAAAAAAATAGTACGAAATAAAATGACTTGGCCTGAGAATGCATCTAAACTTAGTAATGATGAGATTTATGACAAGTTGAAAGGATGTATTTTTGGTATGATTATAGTTGTTTACATATAAACTACTTAGTGATATAAATTCATATATTTTTGTTTGTATTAAGAATTCTGTATTTTTTAAAAAAAAAAATTATTAGGTGCTGCATTAGGCGATGCGGTGGGTCTCGCCACAGAATTTTTAAGTAAAAAAATTGCTAAAAAAATATATGGCGTTGGTCCTATATCTTTTGGTAGTGATAAAGGTTACAAATTTTATGCTGATAGACATAGAGAAAGATGGTATGTGGGTGAATGGACTGATGATACTGGTAAATAAAAAGACTTACACCTCTAATTTGAATATTTGAATACTAATTTGCTTGATTTAATATTATTTCTAATAAATTTCTCCTTGTTTACAATATAACAATTATTATTTAAATAGATCAACAACTTCTTATTATCGATTCTTTACTTTGCTCTAATGGCATATTCAATACGCGAGATTTTGCAAAGCGCTTAAGCAAATGGGATAAAGAGGGCTACCCAGAACTTGAAAATAAGCCACCAATTGGAATTGGTAAAACCGTTGGTTCCGTGTTGAATCATTCAAAGTTCAAGAGGTTGCCCCATAGTGCTGCTTGGGATGTATGGGTTCAATTTAATTGTAATATGGCCGCGAATGGTGCTTTAATGCGTACAGCAATATTGGGTATTCCGTTCTTTTGGGATGAAAAACAAGTGATAAAACAAACCTTACAAGCCACTAAAGCTACTCACGCTGACCCAAGATGTTGTGTTTCTAGTGTGATTGTTACGATTTTAATTTCAAGATTAATTCAAGGAAATATACAGGACACCCTTCCAGACTTAGATGATTCGACAAAGCAAGATATATTGTCGTGGATGCAATCAGGAAATCTTAATAATAAGATTGAGGATAATATTGATAATGATGATCTTAAACTGAATGGCGAATCGTCAAAAAGAACAAGCTTTGTCAAGCAAGTAGCCAATAAAGCAGGAAACTTTTTTTCTGATAAAGAAGATCGAAATACATTATGGCTTGAACGACAGAAAAAAATCCGTGCTAGTTTAAATAGCTCAAAACAAGATAATCAAGAAATTCCAAAAATTCCAGATCCTTTACCTCCTGGCATGGACACGTTTGGTGCTGACCCTGAAATATTGGCATTAACAAAATCTGTAGTTGATAGGTATAAATTCATGACAAACGGCATCAATGCCACGTCACTTAGTAAAACAGGACCTACGAAAGGTTCCAAGTTCAGTAAATTTCAGACAGATATGAGTGAAACAGCTCTTTTAGAACATTGTTTTCCCGATACTTTGGCTGCATTAAGGTTGGATGAATCTCCAAACATCGGATATGTTTACAAGTGTCTTGGTGCTGGGTTATATTGCTTTACGAGAAATTTGAACCAGCAAAGTAGTGAAGGTGATGCTTTTAAGAAGATTATTACGGAACTGATTCTGGAAGCTGGGTAAATAAAATGATCGCTCAATACAATTCGATATATGTACTTAGTATTATATACAATATATTATTAGTTTTTAATCTATATTTGTTTTTTTCCTTAAAAAATTTAGAGATGCTGATACAAATGGTACAGTAGCCGGAGCTCTATTAGGCACCAGAATTGGATATAATAAGCTACCTAAAGAATGGGTTGAAGGTTTGAAATTTAAAGATTGGTTAGAAAAGAGAGTTGATAGTCTTTGGGCTATTTTATCTAGTAAAGAAGTAGAAATATCTTAAATTTAACATTTTAGATATAATAATTTACTTGATATTTAACTAAAATTAAAGGACTTTAAATTTTTTGGAGTTTCTCAACGCTAATATCAACTCTATTAATTTGAGATGACTATAACTATTTGCAATGAATGATACAGTTTTCATATATAATCAAGAGATTTAAATTATAATTTATTTTTGCCTTCATATTATGCGATGAAAAATTTGCATACCGTAAAACCGCGAAATAACGAGCATGGGCGTATTTCGAAATCGGGTCCTTTAAAAATGACATTTATGATTTCAAAATAGCGCCCATTGGCGTCCCGAAATAACGCGCATCTAATACGAGTATTTTATATAATGGTAGTATTATATACTGGGTAGGTGAAAAGTC